AATGTGTTGGTCAGCATGTTTGCTCTTGACTAGCATATCATCAACTTAAACTTCCATGCTCTTCCCAATCTGTTTGGTGAACATTGAATGGACTAGTCTCTGATAAGTCACTCCTGAATTCTTTAGGCTGAAGGGCATGACTTGATAGCAATATAGTCTCATGTCAGTAGTGAAGGTCATGTGTTCTTGGTACAGAGGGTTCATGAGGATTTGGTAGTATCTTGAGTAAGCATCTATAAAGCTCAGAAGTTCACACCCTGCCGTAGAGTCTATAAGTTTGTCAATAAGAGGAAGAGGAAAGCTATCCTTCAGGCATCCTTTATTTAGGTCGGTGTAGTCGACACATATTCTCCACAAGACCTTTTAGAGCAAAAGACTTTCTTTGGTCGAATTTTTCTTAAGAATGATCACATTTGCTACCCATGTTGGGTAATTGACTTCGTGGACGAAGCCTATGCCTTTAATTTTTTCAACTTCTGCCTTCATTGCTTTGTATCTTTCAGCATCATAAGATCTTCACTTCTGTCTCATCGGCTTAGTCTTAGGGTCAATACTCAAGCGATGACATATGATATCAGGAGAGATGTCTGACATGTCCTCGTATAACCAGGCGAAGACCTCATTGTTCTCTTGCAAAAAAGAGATCAATGCTAACCTAATGGGTGGTGACAAGGTGGTGCCAATTTTCACCATGCGATCTGGATAATCTTTTGATATAGAAACCTTCTCTAGCTCTTCAGCGGGTTGTGCTTGCTAGGTGAAAGAGTCATCTTGAGGATTGTTGGGTTGATTGTTGCCACCGTGAAGATCCAAGTTAGCTTCGTTCGGGCTGGTCTTTATGACTTGGTCATGTATAAAAAATGTTTCCTTGGGCACAAGTAGGTGTTATTGCTTAACCGAAGTGTTGTAATATGACCGTGCACTAAGTTGATCTCCTCTGATGTAACCATTGCCATAGGGGTTGGAAATTTCATCAACAACATATGTGTGGATACCATGACCTTGAGATCATTGATGCATGTGCGTCCAAAGATGACATTGTATGTCGTTGGGCAATCAACTTCCAGGAAGTTAATGGTAATGGTAACTGTGTAAGCGCCTATACCAATGGTAAAAGGTAAATGTATGCTCCCTATAGGTTGCACGATATCACCGGAGAAGCTTATCAAAGGAGAAATCGAGCGATCGAGCAAGTGTTCAGCAAACATGATATTAACCGAAGTCCCCGTGTCTACTAGGATTCGTCTTACTTCAAAGTTGGCTATGTGAGCCTCCACGATCAGTGGGTCGTTGTGAGGGTAGATGATGCCTCTTTCTTTCTCAGGGTAGAAACATATTGGATCCTAGTTAGGCTTTTATTACTTGCCTCCTTTAATGTCTTCCACGTGAAACACTTGGTGGCCAGGCCTTAAAGCTCGTTCGCTATTTTTCATGGCCCTATTGGAAGATTCAGATATGGGTGTGCCGCCGCTTATGGAATATATCACATTCACTTGGCGTTGGTTACGGTTATCCCTTGAAGGGTGAAGGAGGAATCGATCAATTTTTCCTTTACGCGCCAAAGTTTCAATATGATCACGAAGGGTGATACACTTCTCACCGTCATGGCCATTATGTTCGTGGTAGCATCAAAACGTGCCCGTGTTCTTCGTGGGCTTGTAACCCGACTGCCTCGACATTGGCTTCAGTATCAGGTGTGCTATGCTGAGGTAAATGGCCACGCATGTGGCATTCAAAGGCGTGTATGTCTCATACCTCGGGGTAAGGCCTGTCCTGACATGTGCTTGGCCCACTGTGTTGACTGCCTGGGGGCGGGCATTATCGTGGTGATACCCTTGGTTATCGCGATAGTGTCCCTTACTCATTTTACTAAAATGGGACTAGTGAGGATGGAAATCTTTCCTTTTGCCCTGAGATTGATATGTCTGTTGACTTGGTGAAGTATTAAGTAAGGCAGGAGAAGGCACCGCTGCTGTTTAGAAAGTCGAGGTCTTCTCATTTGGTTGGATCTAGCTTGCACTCCCTACTTGCTGATAAGGGGTGGCTGTGGGGGGTTTCCCTTGATATGTCCTTACCTCAGCGGAGGTATGGTTGTAAGCATGTGCCATCACCTCAGAGTAAGTCTCCAAGTGTTGGCATTGATCATGTACTTGAAGAAACAATCACATAGGCCTGCCGTGAAGGCTTTGAGGGCAATCTTGTCGTCTGCCTAGACACAACAAGAATACTCATGGCTAAAGTGACCAGTATACATACGTAATGACTTGTCTGGCTTCTGGCGAATAATGTAAAAGTCATTCGCAGAGTGCAAGCGATCGGTCTGGAAAATGTGTTGAGAAACAAACATTTTCCTCAATTCCTCAAATGAGTCTACTGTCTCAGGTGGAAGACGACAATACCAGTTTAGAGCTCCGTCAAAGAGGGTGGAGGGGAAGAGAAGACATCGCTCTTCGTTGGTGTGCATCCGGTATGCCATGGTGGACTCAAAGAGGTTAAGGTGTTCAATCTGGTCCTTTTTTCCAGTATAGAGTTGCAAGCCAAGCTTCTGCTTTGTCTTTGCTGGGAGGGGGTGTCGAGGATCTTCCTTGTAAGAGGGCCAGGCCTAGGTTGGTTCCAATCAGGTATCTCAGCTTGTCGTTCGGCCTTCAACTTGTTTACTTCCTAAATGAGCTGTAGGACAAGAGGGTCCTGAGTGGAGTCATGTACCACTAGAGCTTTCTTTCGTAAATCTTCATCTCCTCTTGGAAGTAGGAAAGTTTGATCAAGAACATGTGATTTTTTCCTGGACTCGCCGTACTGACTTCCAAGGTATGTCTGTCGGAACATCTCTGAGTCCCCTATACCTTCATGTTTCTCTAGGACTTGTTGCCCATTCCTCAGATTGGTAGCCGGTCTGGGACATGGGAGGGGACTGAGTCTTTTAGAGACCCTTGGGTCATTGATCTTCGAGCTTACATGGATGAAATTATCTCGACGTTGCTTTAGGAAGTCTCGACAGTCGCGAAAGACAACTTTCGATCCTTCCACTCCTTTTGTAAGGAGGTGCCTTCCTCCACTCCTTCTGCTTCGGGTCGAAGCAGTTGGGTTGAGAAAAATCTTATGTTGGTCGCCATTTCGATGAGTAGCTCGCTCCTCAACAGGTATACCCATGTCGAGGGCAAATGACCCTTCGTGTTAGGGGGCACCCAGTTAATGGTTGACTTCCACAAGGGTGATGAGCTCGTGTGTTTTAATATATCTAACCTCGTGGAGCATCTCGAAGACCTTCTCATACTACTCTTGGATGATCTCATTCTTCATCACTATCTTGTTGTTCTGAGCCTCCAGCTCATCGACTTTAGCCTAAAGAGCAAACTTATTGCTTTGCACGAGGTGCAAGAGGGGTGTCATTCTGTGTGTTGTGGCTTCCTTCGCTCCCCATGTTGGAAAGGGATGTCTGGTAAAAAAAAAGTGTACGAATGGTGGAAACCAGCTTAACAAAGCTGAAAAGAGTGGGAATAAGTGTCGTTCCCACAAACGGCGCAAATGTTGATGTACAAAATCAGTAAGGACTTTGGTACAACAGAAAGTGTTAAGTTTATGACATTCGCTAGATTGCTCCGATCACTAGTGTGGATAAGTATGCATATGGATAAAGACATGCAAGCAGACACAAGATGTATGTGGTTCACCAGATTGGCTACGTCCACAGAGTAGAGGAGTTTTCATTAATTGTGAAGAGCTTATACAAGTACATAAGTTCAAGCTCTCTTTTAGTGAGTACTAGTGAATGATTTAGTACAAATGACATTAGGAAATATTGTGGAAGAATGATCTCTATTTATAGAAGAGAGTTTCTAGTTTCATTCTGACATTGACACGTATCGTGTTGTGATTGGTTTCTGATGTTGACACGTGTCGCGTTGTGATTGGCTTCTGACACATGTCACGTTGTGATTGGCCTCCTGGTTGGAGGGAAATTCTTCTGGTCCTTAATGGTATAATGTTGACTAGTGCTCAGTAGTTTCGGGATTGGTCAAGTATGGTACAAACAGGTTTCTTTACTAAAAATTCATGAGCATTGGTTCCTTAACTCATAAAACGTGCATATATAGTCATTTTCCTCAACTCTGTTAGAACTTTCGTCAAAATGAGTTACGTGCCGCGCACATAAGGCTTACACAAGTACATAGGTTCAAGCTCTCTTTTAGTGAGTACTGGTGAATGATTTAGTACAAATGACATTAGGAAATATTGTGGGAGAATGATCTCCTTTTATAGAAGAGTTTCTAGCTTTGTTCTGATATTGACACGTGTTGTGTTGTAATTGGCTTCTGATGTTGACACGTGGCGCGCTGTGATTGGCTTCTGATGTCAACACGTGTCGCACTATGATTGGCCTCCTGGTTAGAGGGAAACTCTTCTGGGTCCTTGACGGTATAACGTTGACCAGTGCTCAGTAGTTTCGAGATTGGTCAAGTATGGTATAAACATGTCTTTTTACTAAAAATTCATGAGTATTGGTTCCTTAACTCATAAAACGTGCATATATAGTCATTTTCCTCAACTCTATTAGAACTTTCTTCAAAATGAGTTACGTGCCGCGCACGTAAGGCTAAATCAAGGGGCAAGTATGGAAAACCAAATGAAAAAAAATTGTAACAATTGTCCCTTAGCTTTAACCTAATTGATGAAATGATCCCTCAATGTCAATCCATTTAGAGCAATGTTCCTCAACTTTAACTTAATTATAACAATGATCATTCAATTTTAATACAATTGCAGCAATGGTCATTTCAACATGATTCATTTTGATAGAATTCTAACGGAATTGACAAAAATGACCATAGCTACAAATTTTGATCAGTTAAGGAATCAAAAATCATGAATTTTTAATTAAAAAATTATTGCTCTAATTAAATTAAAATTAACAAACTATTGCTACAATGACGTACCCCAAAAATTGTTTGAAAAAACGAAAATAAAGAAAGAAACACAGAAGAAGCAAAAAACGAAACGAAAAAAATGCTGAGAGCTCTCACTCTCAGACGCTCCGTCGAGTCCCTCCACCACCACAACCACCTGAGAGCCATAACTCCCACCACCGTCCCGCAAAACCCACTGACCCAAGTAAGCTCCACACGCGCATTATCCACTCTCTCATCGCCGTCATCTCCGGCACCATCTTCCTCATCGTCCGAGCTCCGCAAGTACTTGGGCTACACCGCCCTCGTCCTGTTCAGCGCCGCCGCCACCTACTACTCCTTCCCTTTTCCCGAAAACGCCAAACACAAAAAAGCCCAGATTTTCCGGTATGCTCCGCTGCCGGAGGATCTCCACACCGTCTCCAACTGGAGCGGGACCCACGAGGTCCAGACCCGGGTTTTCCACCAGCCCGAAACGCTTGAGGAGCTGGAAAAGGTTGTGAAGGATGCCCACGAGAAGAAATCCCGGATTCGGCCGGTTGGGTCGGGATTGTCGCCGAATGGGATTGGATTGTCCAGGGCTGGTATGGTCAATCTGGCGCTGATGGATAAGGTTTTGGAGGTGGATAAGGAGAAGAAGAGGGTGAGAGTGCAGGCTGGGATAAGAGTGCAGCAGTTGGTGGATGGGATTAAGGAACATGGGATTACTCTGCAGAACTTTGCCTCCATTAGGGAGCAGCAGATTGGTGGCATTTTGCAGGTGGGTTTTGCTTTCATATTGGGATTTATCTGTACTTTTTTTTTTTGGAGATGAAACGATAGCAGTTTTATCTGTAGTTTGCTCAGTAAAGTTAGATGGATATGAACTTAGGTCTGTTTCAACTTTGTATTTTGATGATTTATATCCAATGATTGATATACACATATATGTGAATGTAGTTCAGTTCATTTTTAAGGTACTGCTCTATTGGGGTTTCTAATTTTTATAATCTGAAAACTGTAAAAGGATACTGACGTGTTGATACTTTTCGGATGTTTTTGTATTTATCAAAGTGAAGGGAAAAAAAAAGAGAGGATCAGTTATCTAGTTAAGATACAGAGAGGTATTAGGGGATTTTTGAATCTTTCTGAACAGTTATGAGTCAATGTTGCTCATATGTTTGTAGGTTGGTGCACATGGCACTGGTGCAAGATTGCCTCCGATGGATGAGCAGGTGATCAGCATGAAACTGGTCACACCTGCTAAGGGAACAATAGAAGTTTCTAAAGAGAAAGATCCGGAGCTGTTTTATTTAGCCCGCTGTGGCCTTGGTGGCCTTGGAGTGGTTGCTGAAGTCACCATCCAATGTGTTGATAGACAGGAGCTTGTGGAGCACACTACTGTTTCAACCATGGCAGAGATCAAGAAAAATCATAAGTAACTCTTTATTGCTTTCATTGGTAGAATTATCAATTTGTATTCCACTCAGAAAAATAACTACATAAATATCTCCTGAGTAACACTTATAAATTGCAACTAGTTGATGGGAAGCTGAAAAGTATTGAGTGAGCCAACAATCTAATAAAATTTGATAGTAGGGTTTTACACATTTTTTATGGATGGCGAAAACACTTGGGATTAAGTGCTGGAAGATAATTGAATTATTTTCTCAAAGTTGTTTGATTGTAGTGGCTGGTAATGTGATACCTTGACTGGATTTCATCTTTTAAACTCGAGCAATACGATGTGGTGAAAACTAGAAACTGTTGATCACTGCACACACCAAAATTGCTTGTGGCTCTTAAATCTCAGAAGTCATTGATAAGTGAGGCTTAGCTGCAATACTCTCTCTCTCTCTCTCTCTTGATTGGTACAGGATCTGTTTGTTTACGGAATCTTTTTCTTTCCATCCTCAGGAAATTGCTATCCGAGAATAGACATGTGAAGTACCTTTACATTCCATATACCGACACTGTTGTGGTTGTGAAATGTAACCCTGTATCAAAATGGAAAGGTCCCCCGAAGTTCACACCCAAATATAGCAGTGATGAAGCCATACAGCACGTTCGAGATCTCTACAGGGAATGCCTCCAGAAATACAGGTAAATTGTTCTCTGTTCTTGATCGATCATCTAATCTAGAAAGATATTCTCTTGTGGAGCTGAAGGACAATAAAGTGACGATACTAGTTCTGTTCAACCCTTTATAAGCATACCTGCCAAATGTCTATCCTTCCTTTTATCAATTTTGTCTTTCCTTAGTCCTCGTATTCTATTTGGCTTGGAATATATTGCAAGTGCGATCAAATAAAGACATCAAAGTACTACTAGAGCTACATGGCATAATAGGGAACAAATTTTTTTTCATCATGTTCTTAAATGACTGCTCACTTTTGCTTTCTTTCTCTGTTTCAATTTCATTGACTTTGCAATTCTGTTTTCTTATTACTGGGTTTTGAGAGTCTGCTTATAAACTAGTAAGAACATTCTCATAGTAACTAATATAGACACATAAACGTGTACCCCAGTAAGCATGGTTAAACTTGGTTGGGATTTGTTTAACCAAGATCAACCGAGGTCATGAAATCCCATCTAATGGAACATTGTATGCTGGTTGGTGGGAACTTTTAACTTAAGGTTCATTAGTAAAATGAAGAACTATGAATATTAGAGCTCAAGTATTTGATTCAATGAGAGCGTCTGTTTACAGGATGCGCACATATTATAGTAGGCAACTGTATCATTCTAAACCACAACTGACCCTCCAGTTGGCTAATGAAAAACTTCTAACAATCCTTGTGTACTAGTTCAACACTAGCATTCAACTTGTCATTCTAATTGGTAACTGACCCTCAATTGGCTAATACATAATTAATGAAACCCCCTCCACCATACATAGACATATAAATGAACCCTCCCTCCTATATTTAGAGAAAAGAACTCAACTATACTTTTTCCAAAACCTACACCAATTTACTTGGGGATCATTTTTGTGACGAAACCTTAGAAGTGATAGTTTTTAGGTCTCAGAGATTGAGAGGATGATAGGAGATTGGATGGTTGGAAGAATGGATTTTGTTTTATTTTACTTTTCATAAGAAAGGAGGAGGCTAATTTAGTAGAATCATTTCTGGAAAGAATTTCCATTTATTATTCGTCTTTGTTTTGAATCCCAAGGAAAGTGGTGGATTAGTTATGAGAGATTTTATTGGGAAGAGTAGTAGGCTCACTTGGTTAGTTGGAACTCTGTTTCTCAACCTCAATCAAAACGGGTTTGACCTTTGAGAATATTTGATGTGAGGAATATTTCTTTCTGGTCGGTTGGTTTTTGGGATTTCTTTCATAGCAGAACTCTTTGTGGCAAAATCGGACAAAAAGGTTATATGAATTGCATGAAAACGGTTAGGCTTATTCAGGGCCTGATGTGGTGACTTCTAAGTGTCCTTGGGAGGCTATTTCCTGAGAACATCATGACTGCATCTTTCATTAAAATTTGATTTTGGGGAAACGGTAGCAGAATTTGCTCCTTCATGCTTCTGTTTCCTATACTGTACCCTTTATCGATGCTAATGGTTGTAATCTGTGATTTTCTAGTGTCTTCTTCCGCCAATGCTATTGATTGTTTTACTTTCTCCCATATTTTCTGAAACCATCGTAATAGATGGTGGATTCCCTTTGATTCAATCCTTAATCTTGTTTTCTTACCTTGGAAAAAATAAAAGATCTTGGTTCCTGAATTCTTTGGGTTTTCTGGTAAAAGCACTTCTTTGAGAATTTGATTGATGGCTCATTTTGTTTCCTATCAGGGAAACAATATAGAATTTTATTGACGGGTTCATTATTTCATATCAGATTTTAGGGTTTATGGTTCATTGTTTCACATAAAAAAAAAGCCCCTCTGTGCTGTTATGTTGATTCATTTGTGCATTGCAGTTAACTATTTACACGTTACTTGCAGGGTAGTTCCAGATAAGAGTGAAGTAGACATGAATGAGCTCTCATTTACTGAGTTAAGAGATAAACTACTCGCCCTAGATCCTCTCGACAAAGATCACGTTGCAAAGGTTAACCAAGCTGAGGCTGAGTTCTGGAAGAAGTCGGAGGGGTACAGAGTGGGATGGAGTGATGAAATTTTGGGCTTCGATTGTGGTGGTCAACAGTGGGTCTCAGAGACTTGTTTTCCAGCAGGAACCCTAGCCAAACCAAGCATGAAAGACCTTGAATACATAGAAGGTGTAAAGCAGCTCATCGAGAAGAATGAGATACCTGCACCTGCTCCAATAGAGCAGCGCTGGACCGCCTGCACTAAGAGCCCCATGAGTCCAGCTTCAAGCACAAGAGAGGATGATATATTTTCATGGGTAATTTCATGAACCAATTTTTCCCATATATCTCTTGAGTTAATTCTTCCACTTAGTGGAAAAAGGCTTTGCTGTTGTTGTTGTTGTTGTTGTATCTCTTGAGTTAAATCTTATCCATCTTTGAATCGGAAAGCTGTAAGATAGTATTAAAAGATGAATCAGTTATCGAGCCTGCATACAAGAATTTTTTAAGTGATACCTGAGGCTTTGGATTTTTTTTTTTATATTTTTTTACATGATTAAGCAAAGCTTGATATATTAATTGGTGGGAAAAATCTTGCGGGGTTTAGCATTAGGATATCCCCCTTTAGGTTTAACTGAGAGTTAGTGACGATGTTCTTGCTGATTACTGGTGTTTGTGTCATGGTCCTAAGAGGAACTTGACATGTTTATTGAATAGGTAACACAACACGACTTGTGTATCCTGTTAATAAAGGGATTATAACCAGAACTCATTTACCCGTATAATAAGCCGATATCATCATCTCATTGATGACATGACGTGATGCAACCCACCATATAGGTCACCATAACATGTTTACATGAATTCAACCTACTTGACTTGTATATCGTGTTTGTATAAGAAACCAAAGTTTATCAGTAAATATAAAACTAAAAGAAAATACAAGTAAGGTGAACAAGATGCTTAACTAATTTGATAACCTCAAAGAGAAACGCAGAATACACTCAATACAACACTCCTCCACCCCTCCCCAATCAAGAAAATTGTTGTTAAATATTAAACATCAAACAAGAACATGACTCAATATGTGTACCAAGCCCTGTTACACTGAGGTTCTGACACTTTTGCCTCAGATATTTAGTACTGCTTAATGATTTTTTGTTGTTGTCAAGTACTGGTATAAATTATAATGATTTGACGTTCATATTTTAGATCTCAATCTGGTTTGGGCAACAAATAATTTGTAAAACTTTTGAGGACCATGATTCAGTATTGAGGTTGCTTGACCAAAATTGAAACCCGCATCAAGTTTCAATCACATTCAGTTGCCTATGGGTTCCTTCTTTCAGCACTTTCTAATCTGCTTTAGATGCAGCCCTTGGATAGAGTTTTGTTGTGGGCTTAATGGTATACATGTTCGGAGAATTATTTACCTTGCTTATCAAAATGCTTTTACCAACTGCAATGCTCATATGTCAAAGCTGTTTTTAATTTTGCAACAGGTTGGTATAATCATGTACCTTCCTACAACAGATCCCCGTCAAAGAAAGGAAATTACAGAAGAGTTTTTTCACTACAGGCGACTGACCCAAACACAATTGTGGGATAAGTATTCCGCGTATGAACACTGGGCTAAGATTGAGGTACTAAATTCATTACGTTATTATCTTCTTAATCTCTTTATAAAAAGATTTTGCCACCGTGATACTACCTAGTCCCAAAGACTTTTTTTATTTTCTGCTTTTCTACCCACAAAGTCAATACATTTGAAAAGGGTCATTCAAATGCACCCTGAACAATCAATCTTTCTATGGGAACAACTAGAGTAGCATATGTGTGTTAAAATTGTTTGCTGACTATCAACCTCCTCTAAGGAATTCCACCCATTTATCTCTGTAAACTGGCTCAATACAAGATGTTATATTTATCAAGCATTTACACGTTTGTCATGTGCAGGTTCCGAAGGACAAGGATGAACTTGCTGCTCTCCAGGACAGACTAAGAAAGCGATTTCCAGTTGATGCATACAACAAAGCTCGAAGGGAGTTGGACCCTAACAGGATCCTTTCAAATAGCAAGCTGGAAAAGCTTTTCCCATTATCAGATACCATCTGACAGCCATCCTTCATTGGTTGGTTATTCATTAGTACTTTCTTCTACTAAAATTTGAATGCATTTTATCTCCAAACTTTTTGCCAAACCTGCCTTGAGCATCTATAGACTCAAGAATATGACTATAATTTAAATGTAACAGGGATCTTGAGATATGGTGTGGTGTGTTATTAAGATTATAGATTATGGTACAAAGATCTGGAGATATGGTGTGGTGTGTTATTAAGATTATAGATGTGAAGAATAAGTTTAATCATTCAAAAAGGGCCTATCTCAAATGTTGTAGCTTTGCTTATATGTGGTGCATGTTTGAGAACCTCTCCTAACTAATAAGGAGAATAGATGAACTGATAGTCCTTTTCGCACTATCTAATCGCAAACAACTGAGAAAAAGTTGATGAACCTAATTTCTTAGGGAACAAAAATATGATGGCATATTATGAGAGTAATGTGAATATGCAGGTACAAATAGCAAAGAGTTGGGTAAACCGCCCGAAGATAAAAAGAGATGCTAAACGAGTAAGCTATTATGGTACGCATGTCCATAAGGACTTCAGAAGCATTCCTCACATAGCCAGCAGCAGCATAAGGCGAAGAGGCTGCACCAAAAGAAAACATAAAAGAAACAAAGTGTTAGCTTGAAATTGCCGTAAGTTTTTGTACTAGTTCACCGTATGATATAGTTTTGAGTGTTGGCTTTTGAGGTAGGTGGTGACAGAAGAGGCCCTAAGATCATGAAACTTTCTACAAAGGTGATTGAAAGTAGAAATCGATGGACAAGATGTAAACTTACCATCCCTCAATGAAGCCTCTGTCTCCTTTCTTTTTTGTCCATGGTCTAAACTTCTTCCCAGTTGGGGGATTCTCAGTTTCAGTTGGGTATCCTTCAGAAAACAAAGCAGCGTAGAGGGTGAGCCATAGTATATCCTTCGGTAAAGGAGATTTTATCACAGAGAAAGACAGGATGTGTTATGGGGGGACCTGATGGAGGTTGGGTTTCTTGTGTCTCTGTCTTGGCCATCTTGAAGAAGAAACAGGCAACGCTATCGGCTAACTTGTCTTGGTGACTAGTATTAATCTGTATGTGGAAGTAATGGTGTTTGATCTGTAAATGCGGGTATATAGAGAGGCCCTTTATATACTGGAGTAGAGATTATGGTACAAGGGTCGGCTACTAGTAGTGTAAATGCCTAAAGGGGCTTTTTCTAAAGGTGGTGAACTGGTTTTAGTTGGTCCATGTGTTTGAAGAGCATATTGTGATTCATATAGTTTGGTTTTGAACCTGCTCAGCTGACATGTGGATCTAATTCTTGAGAAAGGGTTTCGAGAAGTGATAGGGTCAATTGTTCATGCTTAGGCGACTCTCTATATAGCATATCCTTTAAGCACTCCAGATATATTTGTCACCTTTTAGCTACTATCTTTCTTTGTAAACGTTGAGAGTATGAATCTTACATAGGAGAAAGGAGGGACTTTGTGTTATCCACATGTGCTCCACGTGCTCCAAAGCTTGGTTGTCTAACGTGTTAAGTCTAACGGTCACACGTGTTCCACGTCACTCCTTTTGTGTTATCCACATGCTAGGCTAGGGGGTGTGTTGAAAGTATGAATCCCACATCGAAAGAAGAAGGGATCTCGTATGTGCTTATAAATAATTGAGTTATTCCCAATATTGCTATTTGATTTTGTGGTGTAATTTTAATTTTTTTTTTAAATACCTTTCGGTGGAAGCCAGATTGGTGACCCAAAAAATTGCATTAGAAAAACTGCAAAAGATATGCGGGGGTTGCTTTAGATTTGGATTCTTTACTTGTTGAAGAGGAGAATCAAAAGTAGTGTGAAACATTAAAAAGGTGGAAAATGGTATTAAAACATGACATTTCCACACTAATGTATCTAGTCAGTGAAGGTTCTACATAATTTTTGTACTTAGTTTTACAAAGAATATATGCTTCCAGTATTGTCAAAAAGAAACGTGTTAAGAACACGGTTTCGACAATGTTGTGGGTGTTACAACATGGGGTTGGGCTAAATCACACTTGATGCCACTAAAAATCTCTAACTGAAAGAAAATATCAGTAAACCGTAATACTAGTGACATTATTGAACATGGCATCAAGCTTAGCCGAGCTAGTGGGCCTCAAAGGCTTAGCACAGCCCAAAGTGGTTCCTTAGACCTAGTAAGGCATGATAGGCACACAACTAATTGACTTGATGATGCAAGGTAACAAGTCTTGAATCCTCCAATCACAATGCTGCCATGTGTACCCTAATGAGTTGCTTTTGTGCTCATCTAACCAATATATAAGGACATGACCTTCAACCGTGAGAGGTAATTGTTTAGTTACCAAGAAACCTTAAGCACTTTAATTTCATTTACCTTTTAAATCTAACTTATGCATTAGAGAACCCTTGGTTCACACTACACTAGAATACAAGGTTTAACTTGTTTTTTCATTTCTGGTTACAGTGATTCAAAAATGAAACACTTGGCATTATAATTAATAGTAAAGATAAATTGCAAATACCCTTTCAAATTTATATTAATAACTGTAAGACTTTTTTGTTTGAGCCTCTGTGATGAGTCGATTTTATACTATATATTATTCCTTATTCTTGGTATATTTTGATTATTATTTTAGTGAGATTTAGGTGCTTTTAATGTAGGACATGCGAACTTATTTTGAGCATAAAGTAACCAAACCGTGGAATTTTTTAGTGATTCCAATTGAAGCGGGTTCATGAATTTGTCAAGAAGTTTGTATTAAAATTTCAAAATTTTATCCTTAAGCATCTGATTGTGGTGAAGTAATTTATGCCCATCGTGCAGTGTTGGCAGATTGGGCTGAAGAGCTTATTTGTGACTTTTGGGCTGGAAGATGATGGGTTTTGAACTTGGGCTCTACTTGGAACTTGAAGAAGAGGTCCTAATCTTTAATTCAAGTCATTTTGGGCCTGTTTTGGAGCCCTAAAGGTCCAGAAACGTGGCTATTCCTTTGATGGGCAGATTTCCTGGTTAGAATAGGAATGTAATTCCTAGTTATCTTTTTATTATTTTATTTCCTAATTTTTAGAAAACCTTTTCTAGGAGGGTTTTAATTTGGAGTAGTATAAATAAGGCTTTTTAACCACTAGGATTTGGGGGAACGCGACATTGATAGAACTTAGCAAAGCTTTGGAGAATTTCAGTCTTTTTATCTAGAAGGTGTTTCCATCCTTTTTATAGCTAATGATATTTTATTTGATTTTTATTATGAGTATGCGTAACTAATTCCTTTTAATAGGGTTAGGCCATGAGCCTTACCATGCATATGTGATTTTATTAATTTGCTTATGAATGGATGCATGCGTGCTTTGAATTATTAATCACCATGATTTAAACTATCTATATATTTTAATGATTGGTCACCATTAGGATATTTAGACAAGTAATTTGATGCAATTTTTGTTGGAACATCACCCTGAAATTGAGGAGGGCTTCTTGTGATTAGTAATTGTAAGTTCACTTAAGACGAACATCACGCTCTTAAGGGTTGCATGGTTTTTCAAAGTGTTTTCACAAAGCTTAATGAGTCTTGCATGTTTATATTTGATTTGAACATCACAGATAGATTGCATGTTAGATATATGTTTTCGCTTGAACATCACGAGGAAAATATGCATTAGGAAAACCTAACCTTCAAAGTAGGTATGTGAAAATTCATAAGTAATTGATAAAATTGTATGGGATTGTTAACGGTGACGGCTAAACCCTAGTATTTCCCTTAATTGATTTTAATTTAAAAATGTTTTTCTTCTTTGTTGTTATTATTTTCAAAATTTCAAATTTCTTTTAGTGTTAATTTAATCTTTTTAAATTCAAAAATCGCAAATCTTTAATAAAAATCTATTTTAATAATTAATTAAGAGTTAATTTAATTATAAATTAGTCAAATAATCTTTAGGGACAACGACCTTGCATAAGCAATTATACTACAATTACCTTGTATTCTTGCAAGTATTTTCAATGATTTTAACCCTATTTTCGTAGGTACTAAAAATCATATCACTCTGCTGCCCTTCATTATCTCTTCCATCTAAAATGCTTTTGTGGCAGGGTGGCAAATTCAGGATAACATCCTCATTACACATGAGGTTCCATTTTTTGAAGTTGAGAAAAACAAAGGGTAAATTCGAGCTAGCCATGAAGATAAACAATGTTTATGATCGGGTGGAATGAGATTTTCTAGAGGCCGTTATGGTAAAAATGGGGTTCGATGCAATCTGGATCAAGTGGGTTGTGGGTTGTGGGTTGTGTAACCATTATTGATTTCTTAGTCTTTATCAACGGACAACCATGAAAGAAATTTTTACCATCAATGGGCTTGAGGGAGGGGACCCAATCTTGCCTTATCTTTTCCTCATTATTAGTGAGGTTCTCTCTCGGTTTATTCAGTGTGCATGTGATTCTAGCTTCCTTGAGGGTATATAACTTAGTTTGAATGGTCCGATGTTCTCTCATCTCCTCTTCGTGGACGATACCTTTAATTTCTTAAAAGCCCCATCCATAAATTGTCAGAACATCGTTCAAATCCTTGACTCCTATTGTCAAGCTTCTGGGCAAGATTTGTGTCACATCCCGACCCGGTCCCCCACCACATCCCAAGCTCGACTCCACTGTAGCACGATATTGTCTGCTTTGGGCCCCAACCATGCCCTCATGGTTTTGTTTCTGGGAATTCACATGAGAACTTCCCAGGAGGTCACCCATCATGGGATTGCTTTCGCATGAACTCGCTTAACTTCGGAGTTCCGATGAAACCTGAAGAAAGTGAGCTCTCAAAAGGCCTCGTGCTAGGTAAAGATGGGAATATACATATAAGGCTTACAGGATCCACACTCTTGGGCGATGTGGGATGTTACAATCCATCCCCCTTAGGGGCCCGACGTCCTCGTCGGCACACTTCCGACCAAGGATTGGCTCTGATACCAAGCTGACACACCCCGACCTGGAAAGGTCGAAGCATG